ACTGAATTCAAAAAAGCAGTGCAGCAGACACCCCTCTGCCAGACCTCTCATACACTACCCCACCCTTGGTATTTCTAGACAGAGGTTACTGGGATCCGCCATACTGCAGTTCAACCAGCAGTTAATTTTAGTGCTCAAACAGTAATCACAGGAACCATTTCAATAGACTGTTCCTTGAACAGTACCCAGAACTGGCAGAGGAGAAGGTGAAGATGGAAAAGGAACACCTTTGAGTTCTTGGGTCCAGTTCCAGATTCCATCCACTTCTGCTCTTCCCTCAAGCAAAGAGACTAACCTATGGGTGGAAGCACAAAAGCAACAACCATTTGACCTTGTGTATGTATCACAACGCATTTTGCTTCAGTTTTCTCATGTGTCAGAGGAAGTTGTTGTGAGCATTAAATGAGGTTGTGTTGTGAAGCTCTTGCCTGGGACATGGTAAGCCCTCAGTAGTAATGTATGTTAGCTCTTGTTCTTTGTCAAGTATCTACTATGTGCCAAGCCCTGTGGTCCTGCAAAGCAGATCTTGTTAGCTCCATTTGAAGAGGTTGGGTCTCAGAGAGGTGAAGTCACATGCCCAAGGTGAACGGGTGTGTGAGGGTACCAGAAACAAACCAGGTCTGCCTGACTACAAAACCCAGGCTGTGGCTGTGGTTTCGAGAGTAAACAGTGTGTGAGCAGACATCCTTCTGTGTAAATGGGCCTAGAGCCATGAGGGTAAACAACTCCCTGCTCCACTTGGTTCAGGGTAATTCATATCCACTGAGTAAACAGACCATTCTGGGCAAGAATTCCTTTGTGTCAACTTGCCTGTTCTAGGAATTCTCAGTATACACACTGGAGCCCAACCAAAAAGTCATCATGAGGTTGGTCTTTCTTAAGACCCATCCCAAGGGGCTTAGTTAATAAAAAACTGAAGGGACCTTCTAGGAAGTAGTTTTGCCCAGGGGACTCTCCCTTGGTATCTTCTAAAGAATGAGATTTTAGAACGGATCTGACACACCTCAGAGTCCCCATGTTTCTAGGGAGTTAGGGAGCCCAGTTACGCCACCTTGTAGGCTCACTGAATTGATAGCCATCCTCCCCACCCTTAGCCTGAATTAGATGTCCTTTCTGTGTTCTCATAGTACCTGTGCAACCAGTGTTAGAACAACTTGTCACATTGTTTTTGCTATTCCCTTGCCTTTCTTCCCACCAGATTGAGAGCAAAATGCTACATCCTATTCACCTTGTTACCATGAGTCAGAATCAACTCAACGTTTTTCATTGCTGTTGCTGTTTTATTTACCTTGTAGTCCCTGAACTTACCACAGTTCCTGGAACAACAACAATAACCCCGATGTTATCATACTCGGCATTTATTGGGCACTTACTGTATGCCTTTTTGAAATACTGTTATGATCCTTACTTAATTTAAAGATGAGGAAACTGAGGCACAACGAGGTTAGTTTACTTCCAGTTTCACAAAACCACAAGAGGTAGAGCTGGATATGAACCCAGGCAGTCTAATTCCAGAGTCATGCTTTTAACCAGTACTCCAATATCTCCATGTAGTAGATGCTCAATTAATATTTGTTAAGTGGATACATGTATGGATGTAACTGCTGTGTTTTAAGAAACATGAAATGACCTGTGACAGTCTTACATCTTCGCAACAGTGAGCTGTAACGGTGCTTTTCCATACTTTCTGCTTTTATTATCCTGCAAGTTGTGTTTGAGAACATATTTTAGAGAAATGCAAATGCAAGTTCTTGGCTGTCCCATTGATGATCGTCACTTCTTGGGCAAGTTAGTTTTCCTTTCTTAGGCTCATTTTCCTCAACTGGAAAATAGATATAATAATAGTGTCTACCACATATAGAAAACTTAGAATTAAGGGGAATAATATAAGTAATGGGCTTCAGTTCTTGGAATACAGTACTTATTCAATAAATGTAAGCAGGTATTTTTATTATTGTCACTATTATCATAAACAACTTGTTAAAACTTTATAATCAAGAGCATTGCTTCCTACCAATGGACAAGGAGTTTTAAGCCAGGGTAAGTGAGTTCTAAGTGACATTGCTATAGCCTGACATCTAAGGTCACCAGACTCACGACAGAAGTTTTTTGACCCATGAATTTCAGAGGCCTGCAAAGCATTCCAGAGTTAATGGTCCCTTCATCCAATATCCATCTTGTCCTGTAGCATTCAGGAAACCTGGGCAGGGAGGGGACTGGGGGATGTACATGTTAGTACCAGCCATCTAAGTGAGCAATGGGTTCAAAGGCCAAGTGGACAGCTGGATAACAAGGGCTGTTAGGCGAGAACAAGGAGACTGAATACCTGACAGCTAATATGAGTTACCATTTATTGTTCACTTGGCATTGAGCTTGGGACACACTAGAGGCTCATTCATTCATTCAGTAACATTCATTGAGTCAGGCACTATTCTGGACCCAGAGGATCAGTAATGACCAAAACAGATCAAGTCCTAGATACTCAGGTCCTTTTCTACTATGCATCATTTTTATTAACAGAGTCATCACACAATGTACAATGTAGATGTTTTCATTCCCATTTTACAGATGAGGGAGCTGAGGCTCAAAGAAGTTAAATACTTTGCCCAAGGCCTCATAGTTGGAAAATGGTGAAGCTGGGATTTAATCCAGGTCTTTCTGATGCTAAATTTCATTCTTTAACCACAACATGAGATTGCTTGTCAAGGAAATAGCAATGCTGGAATCCAGGGGATAGGGTGTGGTAGTGGTGGTAGTATTTGTTTATTCAGAAACTATCTAAATACCTGTCATTGTGTCATAGCAATAATCGTGATCATAAATTTGCAAAACGCAAGAAGCTCTGGTTATGGCTTGTAGTCTTGAGCTGAGTTTATCATTTTACTGCTTACAATTGAAATTGTACTCGGGCTGCTCTAACAAAGAGAAGGACTTTTCTGCTTTGGCTGATAAGCAGGTAGAAGCTATGAAATTCCAGTGCTTTGTTCATAGCAAGTGTGCTTGGTAGCTCCTGGGTACCCTCCAGCGCCTGGACAACACCAGTGGGCACCATGCCCATTGTGATGCTCTCCACACCCAGGGAGTTGGTGAACAAACTTCGGTGGCTTTGGGCAGAAAGAGTGAAATGCTGTGGATGATGGGGCACAGAGCCAGTGGGCTGCTACTGACCCATTTGCTTAGGCCTCTCGCATGCCTGTTCTCCATGGGATGGGAAGGAAGTTTGAGTGGCAGCATAGAAAATTCCACTGCAGAGGGGAAGAGGGGAGACCAGTTGGGACATAATAAGCCCAAAAATAATGCTCAGTCCAGGTCTGGATCTTGGTGGCCTTATTTTGTTTCCAGGGGATGCCATTGTTTCTAAGCATCATAGCCACTATTAGGCTGTACAAGTCTACTCATGCAGTCTGTCGATTCAGAAGCTATTCCATTACACTCTGGTCCCATCGACATACCATCACAGTACAAGGGCATTGCAGTCAGGTGGGAAGGACACCATAGTGGAACTTCAGGACACCCAGATTCTGACGCTAGCTCTGCCCTAGCTGGCAGTGGAACCTCGCCTGGGCTTTTCCTTCCTCACCCATAAATAGAAGGGGGTAGAACTGGATGTTTCCTAAGACCCCCTTCAGCCTTAAAATTATGAGTTTGTTATCTGATTTTTGCAGCCTGATATTGTCTTTTTATTTGTATGACCTTTATTTAAAACCACAAGTTCTGCCCCTTAAGCGTAGTATTCTTTCTATTGCCCCAGTGCCCATAGTGTTGGCACTTAATGTTTCATAACTGTTTGTTAAATTAATGAATGAATGAAACCACTGTTAGCATGTTGGTGTAGCTTCCAGACTTTGGGTCTCTGTGTTTCAGTGTGGGTTGCTAGGAGGATTGAGGGAACTGGAATACAGCATTTGAATGGTACGAGCACATAAAGATCCATTTCTAACTATTGTCGTTGTAATTCTATTCCTTGTGTTCTACACATATAGGTAGCATTGTACAGAAGTTTTATAACCAGCTTTTTCCTCATTTAATAATAAAGATTTTTCCATGTCGCTAATATTCTCATTTAATTTTAACGGCTACATCCTATTCTATCGTAGGGTTTATAGTTGTTTATTTAACCAATCCCTTACTCTTACACATTAAGTTCATCCAAGTTTTCCATATTAGAAACAACTTATCTCAATATTCTAATTTAGTTTTAAAAAGAACACATATTGTTTTTGTAATAGGAAAAAGTTTTCAATAAAAAAAATGCCCATCCCTGCCTGTTTAAGCTAAAACTGTCGAGAAGAGTGTCTAGGAAAGTGGCAGGGCAGTGCCTGAGTGCACACTGGCCTTGGAGTCCCACATGAAAACAGAGACAGTGATCACCATTAGTTATGCTCTTGTTGAATGAGAGAGAAGCAGTTTCCCTAAATCCAAAGCATCGCATTGTCCTTTTCCCCTCTTGAACAGGACTAGGAGAAGATGTGGGGCCAGGTCGTATGGGAAGAGGACCCAGCCGGAGATCAGAGGCCTGGGCTTGAAGCGCCCCTCTGCTGTCTGGCCTTAGACCTTGGTTGATTTTGTTATGAATGAATTATTAATACTGCTTGGTTGATATTTCTGTGAATGAGAATATTATTATTGTGTGCCTTTTCATCACATTTTTGGTCGATGGAAGTGGGGGAGGTTGTGAGCATAAAATGAAATAGGTGCAAGATTCATTTGAAGCCGTAAAATAATTATACAGAAATAAGTTACTGTGAATATAGGGTCACTAGTTCTTTGTGTACTATTAGTCTCTGGAACTGTGGCCTGGAATGTATCTAGAGTTAACGGTGGTTTTGAGAAAATCCTTACCTCACACACCACCATTTAAAAGGGAGCAAAAGCAATAATTCAATCCTCTACTATTTTCATGCTTTTTTTTTTTAATCCTTGCCAGATGTAGCCTGGCCGTGAGCCCAGAGGGTGAGCCCTTTTTGATAGAGGTAGTTTTGTTATTGTCTCCCTTCTAGACAAAGAATTCTTGAAGGAGAAGGAGAAGCTAGAAATGGAGTTGGCAGCAGTGCGGACTGCGAGTGAGGACCAGCGGAGGCACATTGAGATCCTCGACCAGGCTCTGAGCAATGCCCAGGCCAAGGTCATCAAACTGGAAGAAGAGGTGAGACCAGGCTCCGGTGGGCAGAGGCAGAGCCCATGGTGCCTTCATTCTGTTTTCCTAACCCTGCTACCTTAACCAGAGCCAATTCCGAGGAGCTGAGAGGTAGGGAGGGATGTGGGAAACCTCCCAAATAAAAATTAATAAAAACAGAGTTCATCCAACCTAGAACCAGGCAAAGTATGAAAGGCACATGTGAATACCATCAGCAAAGAGCTTACTTTTAGCCTAAAACCCAGCCTACAGCCCATTGGTTGGTGAGTGTCCAGGGCTGGAAATAAATGGAAGGATGGAAACCACTGGTGCCTGTACAACAAAGAGACTAAAAATTGTTCAGAATAGTTTAATTGCTCTGTCTTTGGGCTCTTGATTGCATAGAAAATGGCAAAGGTCTGATGGGGATTGCAATGGGGTTGGCATTCGGCAGACCTGGGTCCGATTTCCAGAAGTTGACTCAGCTATGCAGAGACCCCCTTCCCCAATCCAGGAAATTTTGCTCCTGCTCAAACATTATGAGTTTAGTAGTTTCTGATGAAATCAACCCTTTAAATTAAGTTTTTCGAGGTAGACCATTCCTTTAAGCCTGACCGTGAAATTAGAACGATCATTTCTGAGGCCCAATATAGGGGATTCAGGCTGCAGGCACCATGGCAGAAAAGGAGAAGTCTAACTGAGTAGACACCTTCCAGCTTCCTGTAGCGACAGGCAGGCACCCCTGTGTTGTAGTAGGGGGCTGGCCTGAGCAGGGTCCATTGTGGAAAGTAGAAGCTCAAAGTCTGAAAGAGACTTAAATGGGATAATCTATATAAGGTACTTAGCTTGGTGCTTGGCATACAGAAAACACTATTGTTAATAATCTAATTGTTGTTGAAAAAAAAGTCTGTCCCTTCAGACAGTATCTCCTGATACTGGGAAACTAGAATGTGTCAGTAAACTTCAAGGATAAAACAGTTAAAGGGAAAGACTGTTAAGCAAATGCGATCCTTGTCCATTTGAAGGCTGTTAAACCCCGTAAGTAATGGGTAGAAGCTAAAATTTTAATAGTAGGATGAGGGTCTGAGCAATAGCCCTGGAGTATCTTTCTTTTTATGACTAAGGAACTCATTAAAGAGGAAACATTCACCACAGACAGCGACCTTAACCCCTTAAGGACGGATGGCCTGCTTTGGGGAAGGGCGGCCAGGACTGTTTGTTATCATCATCACTGAAATCATTTATTGAGGCTCCAGCTCCATGTGGAGTGAAGAAAAATTAAAATTTTTAAAAAGTCTTTTAGTTTTAAGGATTCTTTTAAAGTAAAAGTTAGTTGTGAGCTCCTTGAAGATAGGTTCTTTTTAATCAGCATTATGGATTTACCTATGATGATTTCTTGGCATTAGACTTACATAAAATCTTTCTTTGTTGAATGTAGCCTTTCCAAAATGTCTCTCATATATCTGGCTTCCAGTGTCACTCCTTGCACTTACTGAGGTTTCTTTTGAAGGGTCTTAGTTCAGTGCTTACCATAATTTACCATGGTGGCTAAGAGCTTGGGCTCCAGGGCCAGGCTGCTGTAAATTAGAACCCTGGCTCCATGACTTTCAGCTGTGTGACCTTAACCTTTTCAGTCCTCACCTTTCTTATCTCTAAAATGGAGATAATAAAGGACTTTACCTCTTACTGTTACTGGGAGGATTGATTGAGATAATACAACTAAAGCACAATGTTTGGCATGGCAGTGCTCCGCAAATATTGACTGATGTTGTTATTGCTAATCATCCTCACCATTGTATACTCCTTGCTAGACTTAAAGCGGATAAACTGCTGAATGAGACAAATCCATGCCTTCAAGGATCTTGCAGTTGAGTAGAGATATTAATCCATTAATTTAGCAAATACTTAATTGAGTGCCTACTGGATGCCAGGCACTATTCCAGGCATTGGGGGCTCAGCAGGGAACAAAAGAGACAATCTCGCAGTGTTCATGTTCTAATGGATGCACACCCAGAAAACTAATGCAGTGCAGAACATGCTAAGTGGTGGATGAATGTGCTGTAAAATATTTGATCAGAGGAGACCTCTAGCACAGTGACCTGTACCTAGTAGGTCTCAAATGTCCATTACATTGAACTGCATAGTCAAAAGCACAATGACTAAAAGGACAGATGAAAACTGATCCCAAGAGCAGGTTTAGAAAAGGCTGTAAAGGCACTGTCCCTCCTTGAAAGGTGACCAGAAGTGCCTCTGTTTCATTCCAGTGGCATCAGATAGGATGTAGACGCAGCTCATGGCGGTGCTGCCTGCCAAGTCAGAAACCTCACATAGCAGCAACCTCTTAAATCACTAGCATGTATCAACGTGCCCGTGTAACCATGGGTTGAACTCAGGATCTGAGTCACTTGCAAGGCATCTGCCCAACCAGGTGCAGAACGGCAGGAAATAGCATCCGGTGTCTCCTCACTCAGGACCAGATCATGTAAATGCCCCAGCCTGAGTTTTTGGCAAGCCAATTCCCAGAAAGGTGGAAATATGCCCAGGATTTATGAACATGGGCCAAACTCCGAATTGGAAGAAAACAAAGTCTGCAGGTAAAAGTTTGAAATCACTGGTCACAACCGTAAATTCTTACCTGATAGGACATTTACACAAATCATTTTAACCTTGATTTCCCTTTTTACAGTTATTGCGCTGTTGGAGTGTTCATTGTTTCTTCCTGTTTCTTCAACTAGGCTGTCAGTTACTCATCTGTAAAGTGCTCTGAAATCTTTGGGGGAAATTACTCCATAAATATCTATAATAAGAATTTTATACTTATTCACACATACACAAATGGATATATATGCATAATTTCTCCATCATAATAGTAATTTATACTTCGTATAGAAAATTTGAAGAATACAGAAAAGCATAATGATAGGAAATTACTATGCTGCCACATAGAAAATCACAGTTAATGCTTTAAGTATTTCTGGTCTTTTTTATGAGTATATATTTACACAGTTGTGATAATATTGTATATAATCTTTGATTCTGAGTTTTTATTTAACATTATAGAGTAAACATTTCTTCATGATATTAAGAACTCTTCATTAGCTGTATTTCCAAAACCTGAAAATGTTCTAATTATGAAGCAGTAACCAAGCATTGACCTCAGCGCTATATGAAACAAATTAACAAAAGTGGGTGCCCTCATAGGTGTTAAATTCCGAGCATCCCAGGCATTGTAACTGATGGCCTTTTTCTAAATCTTTTTTGTCCCAACACACCTGACATACAGGAGTAGGATGGGTGTGTGCCTATGTAGATTCAACCAGAACCTGCAGTTAATCTGCCCCCACCTCCACTGGTCAAAGCTCTATGCTCATTGTACTTTAGATGAAGGTTTACAGAACAAACTAGCTTCTCATTAAACAATTAGTACATATATTGTTTTATGACATTGGTTAACAACCCCATGACATGTCAGTACTCTCCATACTCGACCTTGGGTTCCTCATTACCAGCTTTCCTGTCCCCTCCTGCCTTCTAGTGCTTGCCCCTGGGCTAGTGTGCCCCCTCAGTCTTGCTTTGTCCTATGGGTCTGTCTAATCCCTGGCTAAAAGGTGAACCTTTGTAGTGACTTCATCACTGAGCTAAAAGGGTGTCTGGGGGCCATACTCTCAGAGTTTTTCCAGTCTCTGTCAGGCCAATAAATCGGGTGTTTTTTTGTGAGTTAGAATTTTGTTCTATGTTCTTCTCCAGCTCTGTCTGGGACCCTCTATTGTGATCCCTGTCAGAGCAGTCAGTGGTGGTAGCTGGGCACCCTCTAATTGTACTGGACTCATTCTGGTAGAGGCCATGTTAGTTGTGGTCCGTTAGTCCTTTGGACTTAATCTTTCCCTTGTGTCTTTAATTTTCTTCGTTGTCCCTTGCTCCTGAAGGGGTGAGATCAGTGGAGTATCTTAGAAGGACACCCACAGGCTTTTAACACCCCAGACACTACTCACCAAAGTAGAATGTAGAACATTGTCTTTACAAACCGTGTTATGCCAATTGAGCTAGATGTTCCCTGAGACCATGGTCCCCACAGCCCTCAGCCCACTAATTCGGTCCCTAAGGGAGTCTGGATTTGTCCATGGAGCTTCCATGACCTTACCCTGAACAAATTGTGCCAGCTTCCCCAGTATTGTGTACTGTCTTACCCTTCACCAAAGTTAACACTTACCTATTGTCTGTTTAGTGTTTTTCTACCCCTTCCCCTCCCCTCCCTCATAACCATCAAGAATTGTTTATTTTTGTGTGTAAACCTTTTCATGAGTTTTTATAGTAGTGGTCTCATACAATATTTGTCTTTTTGTGATTGACTTATCTCACTCAGCTCTGTGCTGTTTTTTACCCTTCTTGGCTCAGTTACGAGAGAAGCAAGTATATGTCGAGAAAGTTGAGAAGCTGCAGCAGGCCCTGACCCAGCTACAGTCCGCATGTGAGAAGCGAGAGCAAATGGAGCGGAGACTGCGTACCTGGCTGGAGAGAGAGCTGGATGCACTGAGAACCCAGCAGGTAAGGGCCAGGTGGGGCAGACCTATGAACCAGACAAGTTCATCCACAGACCTACGTGTGCCAGGCATTGCACTCTGCACTGAGGACTTGGGTCGGCAACAAACCCCTGTCCTCAGCAAGCCAGCACATACCTCAGCAGAGGAGACAGGCAGTCCATGCACTGTGGAGTGACCAGTGTCCTCACAGACAGAAGATCATAGCTGACTTTGGAATGTGGGACGGGGAACAGGGCTTTAGATGACTTCACACAGGAGGACATTTGAGCTGGACTTAGAAAGATGAGTTGGTTGGGCGTTTGGGGGAAAGAACATCAGAGATAGAGGAAGAGTATATAAAGAAGGGAGGTGGGAAACAGCATGGCAGACTCAGGACAAATGGGTGTCCTTAGCTAGGGCATGTGTGCCCAGTGTGGTGGCTGGCCAGGAGGCAGAGGCCAGTGTGTGGAGGGCTTTGGTCAGATTGAGAGATTGGGCTTTTTCCTGTAGTCAACAGAAAGCTAAAGACGAAGAGGTTTTTAAGCTGAAGAGGAATGTGGTACAAAGGATCTGGGAAGGAGCCCTGTGGTGGTACCAGAGAATAGTCTGGAGGGGCGGATGTTGAAGTCAGGGAGGCTAGCCTGCAGGCTGTTACTCTGGACCAGGGTTGTAGGTACAGTGGGGATCTATGGAGGAGATGGATTTAAGAGCTACTAAGGGGGTGAGTCGAAATCAACTTGATGGCAGTGGGTTTGGTTTTGGTTTTTTAAGGGGGTGAAGGGAGTCCCTAGGTGGTGCAAACAACTAACGCTCTTGGTTGCTAACTGAAAACTTGGAGGTTTGAGTCTGCCTAGAGGCACCTTGGAAGAAAGTCCAGGCAGTCTACATTTGAAAATCAGCCATTGAAAACCCTATGCAGAACAGTTCAACTCTTACTCAACAGCAACTAGTTAACTGGAAGAGGATGAAATTCATAAGAGATGATGATCTGTGAGTTTTCAGAGGTGGAGGAGAGGAACGGGTTCAGGAAGACCCCCCCTAGGAAATAATATTGGCCATAAGCTATGCTTTCTGCCTCTCCTCTGCTGGTCACAGCTGTTAGTGTAACTCAGTTATGAATACACACAGAGTAAAATACACCTTGGCAAGGGGAGAAGTCCTGCAGGTCTGCTGTGTGGCTGCACTGGGCTGGGCTCCAGAGTGAGCCTGGGCTTGTGTGTCGCCAGCCAGTGTGGTGGGCAAAGCCCTTGTGCAGCCAATAAAGGGTGTGCTCTAAATTGGGATACCAGCAACTCACCAGCAGGCTCTGTGGAATTATCTACTGAAGAAGGCATAGTGGTTGTGATTGCAACGCTTCAAGGCATACAAGAGGCCAGCTCAGCCTGTGTCCTCTAAGCTTCATATTGCAGGTGCATACAGTTCCCTCTGGATGTATGTGCCTGGCTGGTGGACAAGGGGGTAGTAATGAGATTGCCCAGAAAATTAAGAAACCCACCCCAGCCTCCCACCATCTTGGCGTAGTTGATACCTGGTAAGGAAGGGTGGCCCTCTCTTTGAACTTCTGCTTTTCTTTTAACCTGTGCCACATGCCCTGGCACTAAGTTACTTACACCCTTCAACTCGGTTACTGAGACCTGGAACCCCCAGCCCCTTGAGGGCAGGGCTTCTCTGGTGCCTCTGCAGTGCTGAGAACACAGTAGATACTTACAGGTCTTTGGCTGACAAAGTGGACCCATCTCAATACTTAGAGCGAAAGAATTTTCCAGTTAATATGCTATCCACCCCCTACAGTTAGATTACTTATCCTTGGATCTTCTATTTTGAGTGCTGTGAAACCAGAATCAACTTGTTATCCTCGTTCTGAATCAAGAAGAAGAAATGTGACATTAGAATCATTTTAAACTATCTAACTTGCCACAGAGGGCAGTTTACTGTATGCACCTTCAGACACAGAGATGCTTATGCACGTCACTTCCTCAGACCAACAAACGCTGCTTTCCTGCTGTGCCTGCACGCTGCAGACAGATTTAGACACACCAGTGGAGGATGGATATTTCAGAGTTGGGGCTCTCTGGGGAAATTACTCTGCTTAAATTTTGAATGTGGAGCTGACAGCAGGCAGTTCTAGCTGTCTGTGGCTGACACAAGACCCAGGAGGGGAAGACAGTCTTTAGAGTTAAACAAAACTTTGATGCTGAGCATTTCCTTAAAAATAACATTACAGTTTTGGTTTTTTTACAAGAGTTTTAATCTGTCTCTGATGATAGGAAATACACTTGGAGATTTTCCTGATACTCTTGCCTGCTCATTAAAATGATGGGTATTATTTTTTGTTTTTTCCTTTAGTACTTTTTTACTTTCCCATGTTCTCAGTGAGCATACATTATTTTATAACCAGAAAAGGTAAAAAATGTTATTACCAAAAAAAAAAAAAAGTCTACCAGAAAACTTTGAGTTTTTTAACTAGTTCCATGGGGGTTAAGTTTGGCCAAACTCAAGTCCACTCAAATGCCAGGTCTGGACCCCACAACTGGTGTGGCCAGCACAGGGGCCTCAGGAAAGAGTATCCAGGGCCTCTCTGATCTGCCTCCCACCTCACTCACCGGTACACAGCTCATAATCTGCCTAGCACTTATTGGGTTGGACGAGGGCAGCCTCAAGCGAGGTTTCCTCAGCCCATGCCACACCCTGCTCCTTCGCCCAGTGTCAGTGAGGCACTTATCTGCCCACATAAACCCTGTGGAGAGCGTGCCGAGGTCACTCTATAACAAAGTCCCTCCTCATCTCCTTCCTCAACCAAAGGATGAGACCACACTGTCTTGCCACATCCCATGGGGCATTGTTCTGAACGGACTTTTGAGAGAGTAGCTTAGAGCAGCCGTTGAATCAACACCCGTCACAAGAGCTCTTCCCTTCAGACTGATGCCAGGGCACAGCCCCTCCACCGTGCCCCTCTATCAACTAGAGCCCCCCAGTGAGTTTCAGTTCCTCCTGAGAGATGCCCTGGCACCTTCCAGAGGGGTCGGTAGACTGGAGAGATCAACGGAGTGGCCTAGAATTGTGTACTGATTCAGAGCACAGGCTCCAGGGTCAGACCAAGCCACATTGAATCCCACCTCCTCCTACAGAAAAATGACGACCACAGGCAAGTAATCTTTGTGAACCTCTACTTCCTTGTCTATAAAATGGAGCATTAAATTTTACTTCCTCCATGCTTGTAACTTTAAATAAGAAAAACCTACACAAAGTGCTTATCACAGCGCCTGACACTTAGAAATTGATGAGGAAGGAGTAACTATCATTGCTGTTCTTACTTGTTCTTACTATCATCATCTTCAGAGTCATTTGAAGACTTAGGGCAGTCTTCCTACCCTCTCCCAGATTCCTCCGTTACCCCATTGTTTCCATTCCCCCTGAAAGGTGACGTAAGTATAGCTGATTGAGGGAGGGGGAGGGAGAAAAGACAGGTCAGGACAGTAGGTCTACCAGGAAAGAGAAGCCCTCAGCTAACAGGGTCTTGTTATTATAAGTAAGTTTTTCTCTACTGGGGAGGTAAAGTGTAGTACTTCAGCATCATTAGAAGCTGGGAGGGAAGCGAAAGAGAAATAAAAATAAACGAGTGAGGAAATTGACATTTTTAAGAATTCACAACTTTACCGTTTTTACAGAGTCCAAAAGAACGTTTGCATGTCTTCACTTGCACAGTAGTCCTGTGAGGTAGATGAGGAGAGGTGAGAATGTTCTGTGGAGGACACTGAGGCACAAAGACCTTAGGAGACCCCAAGATCATGTAGCTAATGAGGACATGTGCCCCGTGTGAATTGTTGACCATTGTCTCTACCTCCAGCACTTGGTACAAGCTCAGTCAGTGTTTGCCGGCTCACTGAACGAGCAGCAGCAACTGCCCTGACTGACCCTCAGTCTGTTTTTCAAGCTAGCCCACTTACCCACTAGACCGTGCTGTCTCTGGAGCTTGAATGTTGAAATTCACGCTTGTATTTAGATAACTCCTCATGGCCTGCGTTGGGGGGCCTGGGAGGAGTTGTCATAATCTCACATGAGGTCAAAAGGATTCTGTAAAAATAAGCCAGTTTAGATGGCAACACGAGGGATCTAGATAGAAACTGAGAAGCGTAGATGGCAGCTTAGGGAGGCCATGGAAGCTTTTTCTTGGAAACTTTCTAAAAATAGGGGAGCCTCTCATCTTGATGGACTGATTCATTTATCCTCCTGCCCGAGTCCATGTGCCTGGCCAGGTGGGGGTGGGGGTGGTGACTTCCTGTACAGGTCAGACAGGTGCGTGCCTTCCACTGTATTCTCGCTTAAACGTTGTTTGTGGGAAAGCCTCCACTTACTAGAATAATTTGGATGTGCAGCTTTAAAAAATTGGATAGAAACATATGGTTTACAAAAAGCCCATGGGCTCATTTGATCTCTGTAGGAGGATTAGATTCCATCAGTGCAGCTCAACTGCCCAGCTGTTGTTTAAGGTAATTCACCATTCTTTTCTTAATCTAAGGCATTATGCGGTTCAGGGTAAGGCATTCAGGTATCTCTCACCTTACAGCCAGCTCTGCATCTAAAATTTGTGATCTCTGGAAAGCAGGAGAGGAAAGTGTGTCCCAGGACATAGAATAGCTGTGATGAAGTCATTTCCCCCACAAGTACCAGGGAGCCTGGCTTGGACCGGTACTGGCACTCCTGATCCTAAGACAGCCCATCTCTGCCTCTGGCCTGAAGTCAGAACCTCCTCAAAACCCATAGTCCTCTAAGCCATGTTGTTTAGAATAAAGTGTATACCTGAATTAAAAAAAAAAAAAAAAAAAACTGAAATCTAAATATTCTCAGATAGTGAGTATTTCAGAGAAGATCTCATAAGGCCCGCATCTGTTGGCTCTGGAGGAAGACCCTCTTTTGTCTTTTCCAGCTCCTGGTAGCTCTGGACATTTCTTGGCTTGTCGATGTATCTTCACATAGTGTCTGTCTTCCTGTGTGTGGCTCTGTTTCTGTGCCTGTTCTCCCCTTTTGTAAGACACCATGCAGAAGCAGTTAGGACTGGGACCCACCCTGAACTCATTAACCTAGCTGGTAGCATCTGCAAAGAAAAACCCTATTTCCCAAAATAAGGTCACACTCACAGGTTAGGCCTTGCCTTCCACATATCTTTTTGGGGGACACATTTCAGTCCATAACAACCATGAATTGGTGTGTATGTTCTATGTGGATAACTACGCAGACATGGTTTATATGTTCTACTTTATAGCCCATTTTGAGCATCAAGATGTTATTTCTCCTACTTGTCCAGAAACATGGAAATGGCCAACCAGCCAGCATGCCGGAATACAATGCCCCGGCCCTCCTGGAACTGGTGAGGGAGAAGGAGGAGCGGATTCTGGCCCTGGAGGCCGACATGACCAAGTGGGAGCAGAAGTATCTGGAGGAGAGCACCATTCGACACTTTGCCATGAATGCCGCAGCCACTGCTGCAGCCGAGAGGTGAGACCAGCTTAACTCTGGTGGTTGTAAAAACACTGGGTGTCCAAAAAGGTCCAGAGACCCCTATGGGGAGTGAGGTCAGTGAAAACTTAAAACCGGTTGTAGTGCTGCTGATTGGAGAGCAAGATGGTATAAAATTTCTGGAGGATAATTTGGCAATATGTACCTCCCCTTTAGTTCCAAAATTTCAGTTCTAGATCTGTACCTTAAGGAAGTCATTATATAAATACCTGAAGATTTATGTTCCAGGATGTTCATTCCAGTGTCGTTGAAAATATCAATACAGTCATGTGCTGCATGGTGTCCATTCAGTCAATGTTCGACCGCATACATGTCTGTGGTCCCATAAGGTTATGACAGAGTTCAGAAATTCTGATCGGAGAACAGGACTTAGCGGATTTAGGCATGTCACACTCGACAATCAGGATCACAGTCCTCATCAGTGATGGAGAAGCCTTGAGGACTAGACGGGTCCTGCCTCCCCATCCCGGGTTCTTTGCAGGACGATCCTTAAAAACAAAGAAAAATTCTCCAAGCTGTTAAAGGATCGGCTCCACTAAGAAGGTTTACAAGGCTAACGAAAATGCAAGAGGGACCTATATCAGATATGGAGAAGTTGCTAATGAAATGGATTGAGGACCAAATACTAAATATAATCCTTCTCAGCACATTGACAATCACTACTAAGGTCCAAGATGCTTAAAGAAAAAGCAGGACAAGACTACAATGTTGAGTTTAGTGCTAGTCCGAATCATATAACGTCCTTTTTCACAAAATGTATCATGGATGTTAAGTGACGCGTGACTGTACATTTAAAACAGCCTAGGATCCAACCACAGGGGATTCATTAGATAATTTAAGGTACATCCACACATAGTATTGACTATGGAGTCATTAAGAAAGATGTTGTGAAAGTATATTTTATAAGTTTTTTTTAACATTGGATATGTATCATGGGCCAAGCAAGAAGTATATTTAATCCTCATAACAGCCCTGAGAGTAAGCCTTTTACAGATGTAGCAAACAAGGCTTATAGAGGTTCAACAGTTTATTCTAAATCACACTGGTAGTAAGTGGAGCCGCATGTCAGACTGAGATCTGTCTGACTGTAAAGCTTGTGTTCTCTTAGTTTGAAATCATTTTCTGCTGATTTATTACCTCGATTGCTTTATTTCCTTTTTATTGGAGCACAGCCTTATCCTTTCTTTAAAAATTAGCTCAAAATGTGCAGTAATTCATAGAAGGCACCAAATATCTGTTAAATTTTACTGTTGTCTGAGCAAACAAGGTCATTTCCCCTGATTGCTGGATCTCATATGCAGGCGTTATTGCTGCACGTATTTGAGTGGCTGTGCATTGGACCAGTCAAGCCCCTTGCTGCTCCCTACCCAGTGTGCTTTTTGTCCATAAGTTAATATTGGGTGTTTAAATTAGAGTTCTTTGGAATTCACCAAAAGTGGACTTCTTAATAGGGTCTATTTTTAGATCATTTGGGATGGTAGGACCTGAACCAAGCAAGACAAGTAAAAAAACTAAGGATGCAAACTGGTTATATAGCCAGAAACCCCATCTCCTTGCATGTTGTTTCTCTCTTAATGAGTACAGGAAGGTCTGTTGGGATGGGAGGATACTTTGTAAGCTATTTATGGGCTCTCATATTCAAGTGGGGAAGAATCCCTAGCAGTGTGCCCAGATGTTGCTTCCAGGATCTGGAGAGAAAGCAGTGCCACACAGTATAGGCATAGATGCCTCACTGGGCATCACAGCACACTTAAAACTAGAAAGACCTGCAGACTCAGGTGGAAAATGACTGTTTTGGAGTCATTTTTCTAGAGCTCAAGTTTTGTGTTTATGTATATCTATGCTGTGAGGGAAAACAACCCACACAATTCCATCTGAGTAAGACTTTGGGAGTTGGAATAGACATTTAGACATATGTTGTGTGGCAAAGCTCCAGAGTCATGGTCTGAAAGCCAGAGGGAGCTGCAGCCTTCAGTTCAGTCCCTAGTGTGTGGGTGAGAACAGTGACGCCTGAAATATTTGTTAATTTTTACATAATTGAAAATGTTCTTATGTTAGTTTTCTAAGGTAATAACTCAGTCACCTCTCTAGTCTGACAAAGAGAACAGACCGTCGTAAAGTTACAGAGGGATGTGGTCTTTGCTGGATTTGGTCTAATGCTGGCTGCCCATGCTGTCCTGCAAAGAACCCGGGATGGGGAGGCAGGACCCGTCTAGTCCTCAAGGCTTCTCCATCACTGATGAGGACTGTGTGATCCTGGACAAGCCTTTATGAGTGTCAGCTGCCTCACATGTGAAATGGAAATTATGAATCTTGACTAGTTGAGAGCAGGGAACCCAGCCACATTCCTCTGGCTGAGGACGCTAAAGCCCTTAGAGCAATTTCAGTTTGTTACCTTGGAAGGGTGACACAGGGGCCTGTATTTGTCATCTTCGTTTTAGCTCCTGTTGATTTATCAGATTAGATGTCTGTTTGGTATGCAGGGCCCTGAGGGGATGAGTGGGACTGGAATGTAAAGTCAAAAGGAGGGGAATGGACAGGTCTAAAGCATTAGACCCCTGTGGTGGGTTGGAGGGGCTAGCTGGGGAGTGAGTAAAACCAGACAGACTCCAAACAGTCACCCACTCACACTGTTCTAGGCCCAGCCTTGTTTATCATCCTTCATGCAAGGGAAAAATTTCTCCATCCCCCAGAGAACAAGAATTCTACAGGATTTATCCAAACCTGTTGTTCTCCTGTGTTGTTAGGTGCCATCAAGTTGATTCTGACTCATAGCAACCCTGTGTGACAGAGTAGAACTGCCCCCACAGGGTTTTCAAGGTTGTAATCTTTATGGGAGCAGATCACCAGGCTTTTCTGCTTTGGAGGGGCTGGGGGGTTCCAACTGCTAGCTTTTTGGTGAGCAGTCCAGTGTTGTGCCACCAGGGCTCCGTTTGTTGTTCTCCTACCATCTTCTATTTGGAGTTCCAGATGGATGGATGGATGGAGTCTTTTTCTGCCATCTTTCCCTCCCCTCTTCCTTACTTCCACATATATTTATTGAGCATTGAATAATTCTGTGGAAAACTACTCCCCATTACAGACTACCCCTTCCCACATTCTCAGGGGAAAGTAAGTTCAGAGAAGATCAGGTTTTATAGCTCTAATCTTAATGTTCTTTTCAAAGAAAACCTCTGTAATTTCAGCATTGCTAGAGAGGAAAGAACAGGAAAATAAAGAATTTTTGGAAAAGGTCAAAGTTCTGAGCTCTTGTCTAAATGATAAATGGCTGCAGATAAATTGGTAAAAACGAGCATTTCCAGCCATTAGTTTTGTGACTTTTCATCAAGTGACGCATACTTCACATTTATAAGCAATAGGTTTTAAACAAATAAGTTTTGTGCATCAATTGGTTTAGCTATCTTTATGTAATTTGGAGGCCACTTACCAGAATTCTGAGAGGTTTGGGGCTATTTTATTGTTTGAGAAAGATTTTGCAACTTTTTACAAATTTCAAAGGAATATAATATTTTTTTAATTTCAGATCTGTGTGTTTATATTTCTAAGTTGTTTTCCTCTAATTGTGCCTGCTGTTCCTTATTTGGCAGTATCAACATGAATTTTTAAATTTGTCTCTGACTCTAAGCAAATTCTTCAGAAGTAAATTGGTTGAAAATGAGTGCTTCTAGCCATTAATTTCTGTTTTGATTATTTTTGTGTACCTTAGAGTGAATTTATAATTTTATAAGTATATTTAAAGCATTTTCGTTGCTTTCTGCAGTATTTGGCCTTATGATTTATTTCCAACCATAATTTTACTTTATTTAACCACACTCTCACACGTGTACTCTTATTGATTTATTTATCGCCATGCACTTTTGCTGAGGCCTCCTTCATAAAGATAAAGCCTCCAGAAGTGTAGACTAATGGTGAAGGGCATGCATGGACTTTGGAGTCATAAATATCTGGTTTTGAATCCCTTCCCACCATTCACTAACTTGGTATCTTTGCAAAAAGTCACCTCACCCCTGTTTCTTTTTCTGTAAAATGAGAGTAATAATACTTACCTCCTAAGTTGTTCTGAGAAGTCACCGAGATGCTATGTACCATGTGCTTTCCTCAGTCCCTGGCATCAAGTAAATGCTCATTAATTGATAGCTCTCATTGAAATGGATGAAAGAAGGGCCCCTTTTTTTGCTGTTTTGGGTGGCTCCCAGAAAAGAACATTACGATTTCAAATATGATTGTAACATTGGGATGTGAAGTTAAGAGATGTTTGGCTGAATCATTTCTATTAATTTAGTATTCACATAATTAGAGACATTATTGTGCCTTTTAGCCTAAGATGTATCACTCAGATGGCACAATTATCTTATTTTTACTAATTGTTGTAAATTAGGAGCAATTAAGTTGACAATCAGTGACAGGAATAGTTATTTTTGCCCAGCTATTTTCAGTCAGACACCTGCTTCCAGCTAAACTGCTTTTTAATCTCTGTGTCTGTCTCCTCCCCACACTGCCCATCTCACCGAACTTTTCAAGACAGGGTGAGTGTCTTCTCTGTTTCTACCCTGGCACCCAGCATGTTTGTTACACTGAACTGACCCAAAGCCTAAGCAGCAGCCCATACAATAAGACGTGAGGTAGAATGTCAGCATGAAGGAGGACCTCGGCCTGGAGTCTCACCGCCCAAAAGGATCATGCTCAGTTTGAAATGTTTACTGAGCCCCCAATTTATTGTAAAATACTGAAATAGCTGCTACATAGTGATGAATAGAAATAAAACTTTCACTCTGGGAAAGTGGGAAGGGAAAGTAAATATGAAAGAGTACAAGTATAGAAAAGAGCCCTAGTGGCACAATGGTTAAGCACTCGGCTGCTAACTGAAAGGTTGGTAGTTCAAACCCATCAGCATCTCTGTGGGAGAAAGATCTGGTGATCTGCTCCCATAAAGACTACAGCCCAGGAAACCCTACGGGGCAGTGCTGCCTCTGTCACATGGGTCGCTATGAGTTGAAATCTACTCAGCTGCATACAACAGCAAGAAGTACAGAAACACCAACAAATATAAAAATAGGAATAATAATAATAAATCCACATGTGAATAGGTTAAAGCTGAAGTAGAATCTCTATATCCATAACATGCCAGTTAGCTTTAATACAGGTAGTCCACGACTTACAACGTGTTCGAGTTACCACGAACCACACTTAACAACTATCTGTTTTTATTTTTATTTTTTTTTTGGTATGTCTTATGTACTACATACAGTGTTGCAGTGCATAATTTGCTGATGTTATCATCCTCAGATGTTCACTAGCAGGTGTTCAGTGTTATGATTTCCTGTTCAAAACACTGCTGTATATAGCAGGCTATGAAAACTAAATTTATAAAAAAAGAGGTGTTCGACTTATGTCAGGACCAACTTATAACAAAGTTGTGAGAAAGTAACCCTGTTGTAAGTCAGGGACTACCTATAAGCATTGTGATTAGAGGGGGTAGGGAATTTTAATTTTTAAATTATATTTTATTTTCCTTAGATACTACCCTAATTCTAGCAAGCTTAGGAAGAGAATGTCAGGAATATGGAGATTGAGGGTGGAGAAGGTGGGTGCACTCAAGCATCTCCCCACACTACCCCCACAGCACAGCGTCTGCAGTTCTCTGCGTCTGGTGTCTGACAAGATGAGTAACTGGGCTGGGGAGGTGGAGATGGAGCGCTCTTGTCAGCCAGCAGGAGGGAGGAGCAGGCTTCTGTTCCAACGTGAACACCAGCCCATCCTGACTCTGTGCTGAACAAAGCAAGAAGGCTTTCCTGTGACTCCAGTGTGTCCTGTGTTGTCAGGGACACAACGATCATCAACCATTCGCGGAACGGCAGCTACGGCGAGAGCTCGCTAGAGGCCCGCATCTGGCAGGAAGAAGAGGAGGTGGTACAGGCCAACAGGCGGTGTCAGGACATGGAGTACACGTAAGGACTGCTGTGTGCCGTGCATCACTGGGTCCGCTCCAGCCACTCAGCTCTGGACCCCGCGTGGAGCCCCCAGCCCGCACGTTTACACTCTCACATTCCAGCCCCTTCCAGAGAGGACTGCTTCTGCTGCCCTGTCTGAATGGCTGTGAGCTTGAGCTCTCCAAAGAATCTCCTCCCCCAGCTCTGCCCTGGAGAGAAGAGAGAGCCTCAAACCTAAGCAAATGGCTTCTCTCAGCAGGACTGTGCCTGAAGTCTCTTTGGGATAATTTTGTGTCAGGTGCCGTTTTTAAAGTGTAGGCTGAGTCTAACAACAAAAGAATGTAGACGCCTGTGTCATTTCTGGGTGACTCTCTCTATAAACCTCTAGGGAACTGGGAAGGGGAAGCAGATCATACTACAAAGGCTTGGAGTTTTTGAGCTAGAATTTATATATTTCAACATATAATGAACTTACTAGCTAATGCATTCTTCTCATGGGTTAAACTAGATTTCTGTAATAAATTAGCCTGTCCCTCTCCCCAGGATCTGTGGAGCCTGGGGCCCTAAGCCCTCATTTTATGGACTTTCTAGATGTGAAAACAGGGCTGAGTGGTTGATAGGCTCAGAGAGTTACTATCAGAGTTGTGAAAAGAACCCAGATGTTTTCTAGGTCTTATTTTTGAACCATTGGTGGGATGGAGGTCAGCCTATCCTTTTCCCAAGAACCTGTTAATCTTCTGTTTTTTCCCTCAGAAGTTGACTTTAGTTGAAAGCTCACACTGTTTGAAGCTTCGGTGTTTATGTGCTTTCCTGTCTCCTTCTCCCCAGGAGTGCTAGACCCTCTAAGTGTGGTCCCTGGAGGTGGCCCCAGTCATTCTAACTGTACCTCCTCGGGCTCCAGAAAGTCCCAAGTCTCCCAAGGTGCCAGAGGAAGGGCACCCTTTTGATCTACTGTGAACAGACCATCTCATACAATTTGGAGATCATTAAATGCTTGAAGACTTATACTGCACTTAACCCTCTATCCCTGAATTATAATTAAAATCCCATGCACAGCCTAAGAGAATTGTTTCAAGTTTTTCTAACCAAATTAATTTTTTTAACCAATGACTATTTTATTTTACAGTATTAAAAATCTCCATGCCAAAATCATAGAGAAGGATGCCATGATTAAGGTCCTTCAGCAGCGATCCCGTAAAGATGCTGGGAAGACAGATTCCTCGAGCCTGCGGCCTGCCCGCTCGGTCCCGTCCATTGCCGCAGCCACTGGCACGCACTCCCGCCAGACCTCTCTTACCAGCAGCCAGCTGGTCGAAGAGAAGAAGGAAGAGAAGACCTGGAAGGGAAGCATAGGTGAGCTTCACACCTCCTTCAGCCGCAGATCTGAAAAGCAAGAGCTCTTCAGACAAACATAGAGAGGCAAGCTAGCTTATATAGTGGGAAAAGTCCTAACGCTTGTTTGTGTGGTGTCCTGGCTCCACTGCTCACAGGAGATGGAAATGTCACTGTATATCTCTAAGTCTCAGTTTACTTGTCTGTAAAATGAGTAGAATAATCAATCATACTTTGGCTGTGGATATTAAATGGCATGTGGAAACACTATGTAAATTCTAAAAGCTACACCACTGAAGTAGCTGTCAGCCCTGGGTTGACTCCTATCGTAATTATTATCCATTATTGTTGAAAGTTAAAGCCACCTTTACAACATAAAATGGAAAAATCCCAGAGACATCAGGCTTCTGAACTTGGCTATGCCTCAGACCTTTTATATGACCGTTCCACCTCTCCTTCCTTCTCTAGAAAAGGAGGGCCCCGCTTTTACCTCATGGGGTGGAGGTGAGGGCAAAATGAGCTAATGGGGAGAAAGCATTTGGACAGAGCGCTCTCAGATGTAAGGGGTTAGTGGTGGTTGTGCTTGTATTGCTGCATAGGCAGGATCTTGAGAAGAATTGGGCAAGTGTGGTCTTAGCCATGAATGGGCTTCCTGGATTAGTCTCAGAGGAAGCAGCAGAGCCAGCCCTGCATGCAGGCAGCATTCCCAGACACAAGCCCCAGCCCCCACCCCCCTTCCCCACACTCTGGCACCTCCAGAGGTTTGGCCCTTTGATGCATTTCCCCCGGTCGGCTTGTGTCTTGTTTCTCTGTGGAGCTGAGAGCCAGCTTTCCTCAGGACAGGACCCCGGAGGAGCTTGGCTGCTTCTTGCCAAAGGGTTGATAAGAGCCTCAAGTACACACCCAACAGAGTTGAAGGATCAAAGGCTGCAGCCAGAACCTCTGTTTGAAGTCCCTGCATGGGGTCACTTCCCTCAGAGGAAATGCACTTCAAAGAGGACGTGTGTGGACAGCAGATGTGATCATCAAAGACCCTCGCAAGGACCCGTCCAGACCCTGGTTAGAGTGCCTGGGAGGTGGTACTCAGGCGGGTATGGTTAAGGAGATTGAAAATGTGTTAGGTCTGACAGAAACCTCCCTGGGAGAAGCCAGTTGGACACCCAGCCAGGCTGGCCCTGTATTGGGCTTGACTAAACCAGGCCTGGAAGCCGAGGACCCTGGGCTGCCAGAGGAGTTGCTGGGTTCCCTGCACTGGCGTTTCCTTCCATTACTGTGGAGACTCCTACACTGAGTAGTGCCTGTGTGTCACGAAAACAGGGACCCTCTGAGTGGCAAGGGAGAAGCACATATTTGTGGGTCACTGCACAGTTCCGAAAGGTATCACTATCTCTTCCCGATGGACTCTGGAAGGAGGTGCGGGCGACAGTCTACCTTCCTGATTTCTCAGGGCCCCCCAGGTGAGATGCTGCCTAGTGATTTCCTCAGCCTGACACTCCCCGCGAGGAGATTGTTGTCAGACTTGGGCTTCTACAAGCAGGGTGACAAAATGGAAAGAGCATAGATGGGTTTGAGTCCCATTTCTGCTACATTTAGCTATGAGATGTTCATTTCTCTGAGCTTCCATTCCTTATCTGTAAGGCTGAGAAAGCCAGCACCTCATAGGAGTGTTGTGAAATTTAGAATCAGATGGTATGTCTGATGCACCTAGCACAAACACCCTTGCCACTCGAAGTGTAGTCAATGGACCAGCCACAGCAGCATCCCCTGGGAGCTTGTTAAACGTTTTGGAAGGAGAGGATTTATACGGAGGGGATTAAAAAAAAAGAAAACATTGCCGTCAAGTCAGTTGCCGTCATAGCAACCCTATAGGACAGAGTAGTACTGCCCCGTAGGTTTCCAGCGAGCGGCTGGTGGATTTGAACTGCCTACCTTTTGATTAGCAGCCAAGCTCTTAGCCACTATGCTACCATGGCTAGGTTTTTCTTTTTTTAGTCTATCAGTGCTTGGCATTTTATCAGGCCCATAATAAATGCTTGGTGAATGAATTAGTGAATGAATCAAACAGTCCTCAGTCAAGAAGAAAATCATCTTCAAGACTAGTTTTTTTTTTTAAAAAAAAAGATGGCATTGAAAAAGCTGTTTTTCCACCCTTAGGATTGCTGCTGGGGAAGGAGCACCATGAACATGCTTCGGCTACCATGCTTCCAACCCCACCCCCCTCAGCACTGTCTCCTACAGCTTCCACCACGTCAACCAGCAGTGCCCACGCTAAGACAGGCAGCAAGGACAGCAGCACCCAGACCGACAAGAGCGCTGAACTCTTCTGGCCCAACATGGCCTCCCTTTCCACCCGCAGCAGGCTGGGCGTGACCCCCTCCAACAGCCCCATCCTGAAACACCCAGCGGCCAAGGGGACTGGAGAGAAGTCAGGTATGTGGTTCTCTCCCTCTTTTAGGTACCCTTGGAAACCATAGAACTCTCCGGCCTGAGGAAGAGAGTCTTTTCTTGAGCTGAGGAAGGAGCAGGAGCACCAGTCAGCTCTCACTTTCTGGGTTTTTTAATAGGATTACTGTTACCCTAATGTACTAGGCTCTGTACACACTTTATTATTGTGAGAATAAAGTTTGTGTAGGCACTGCTAAGGTACTCTGTTCAGAATGAATACACAGCTGCCTCTACCCCTTTTAATGTATGCTTTATAACTAACCCTTCCCCGGAAAGGGTGAAAGTAGATCCTCTGAGGGATGTTAGAAAATTTGTTCCCTCCAGTATGTTGGGGAGCTAGTATCAGGCACCAGAAGGAGCCCTGGTGGCACAATGATTAAGCACTTGACTGCTAACTGAAAGGTTGGCGGTTTGAACCTACCCAGTGGTTCTGTGGGAGAAAGACCTGGTGACCTGCTTCCATAAAGATTATAGCCAAGAAAACCCAATGGGGCAGTTCTGCTCTGTGACAGGAGGTTGCTATGAGTTGGAATTGACTAGACAGCACCTAACAACAACAACAGTTAGGTGCTAGGTACCTCAAAGGCACCAGAGACTTAGATGATGCCTTTGAGGTATTTATGTATGAAGGATCCAGAGTTCAGTGGGGTACATCCTGATTGGAGAAGAAGGGGTAGATTTAACTACAGAGTAGCTTAACCTCTGGCATAGCCCTTGGGCCAATACTAGTGAGTTGCTTTATTAGAGCGTGTAAGAGAAGACAGCTTGGGAGGAGTGAGCTTTTTGGCGGGTCCAGAAGTGTCTAGGGAGAGGTAAGTTTGGGATGGGACTAATCAATGTTGTAGGGAGATCCCGTTTCAGGAATTCTTTTGCAGAGATGGGGGCTATTTTGTACATAACTGTTTTTTCCAAGGTGGCTCTTTTTATTTTCACCCTCACAATACACAAGTAAATACAGTGTTGGCATTCTGGAGAGATTTTAAGTTCTTGGGATGAACTTTTCCAAGTAAGGCAGGGAGCATGTTAAAAAGTACCTGGCAGGTGTGTACACCTGGCAGTTTTGATTAAATAAATAGAGGGAGCGTGGCTATGAGGTGCTGCCCATACAGTCCCACTGTCACCTTCATCCACTTAATCCTTTCCTATCATCATCCTGATGGATGACTGTTTTTTATTTGATTCTGAACTCCAGGGCTGGCCACTGTGTATACTTTATAACACTTAGCTCTTCTTGACTGTGGACTCGATTGTGTGTGGCCTTACCTGCATGCACTTGTAGGGAGGAAACATTCTGGATGAGTGGTAGGGTCTGAAGTGGTTCCATTAGAGAGAAATTGTGCAGCCCACACCCACTTAAGGCACAAGCTGTTCTGATGTTTCCCTTCTATTTGGCAGAGAACTCTCCTGGCCATGGAAAGGCACCTGACCACAAAGGCCGTGTCAGCAGCTTGCTCCACAAGCCCGAGTTCCCTGATGGAGAGATGATGGAAGTCCTCATCTAACTCTTTCCTCCCTGTTGAATGTCATACCCAACATTGACAAACAAGGAAGGTGGCAAAGAGAGAGAAGGAAGGTCACGAAGGTTCTGGGTGGGAAATCAGGAATGATTTGAACAGATAAAGAGTTCAGATTAGAAGAACACTTCTTATATATATAAAATAAAACTTTTAAAAAACACACACACACACAAAAAAACAGGAGACCTCCATGACTGAAGGTAGAGAACATGCTATGGATTTTTCTCGCACATGGTGGAAGAGAGAAGATGCTTGTAGGTTTGGAAACAAAGATAAGAAGAAATAGGAAATGGAATTTTTCATTGTACAGAAAATGTATCTCTTGTGGGGGTGTCTGTGTATACCCATTCTCTGGTTATAAACGCATAAACCTGAGCATGGATCTTCCTTGGAATACCCCCATTCTCCTTGCATCTTAGCATGTTTTCTTTAAGAAGAACCTTCTAAAAATCTCGCCAGTGTTGGCAAAATGCGATATCACCTGGGCCATCCATCAGGTGTCCAGGAGAGTGTGTGTGTGTGTGACAGTGAGAAGTGTCTGCAGGTGATGAGGATTTTAAAAGGTGGTCTTCACCTAATTATATGTTTGGCTTAGGTTTTCAGGAGATGATTGGGCTTCTTAGCTTTTCTGGATTCAGCAGTATTTTTTAAGCAGGGCAGGAGCATTAGGATCTCCGCTCATCCTCCCTGACTTCTGTAATCCAACTCTGTTTCTGCTTCACTCTCTTTAATTTTCTGTTTTTTCCTTCACTTTTTTTCTTTTTAATAAGTCGTGGCAGAGTTCTTTAGGCATGGGATTTATTAGCGCATTGTCTGAAGTGTCCTCATTCCTGCTGTGTTTAATAGTGGCTGGTAGGATAGAGCCATATGCTGGCTTCATGGCTGCTTCTTCCACCTTCATGTACTTGGGGTGCAGCCGTTAACCTCAGTCTGACTGTGGACTAGGTGGGCTTTGAGGAGGTAGAAGGCTCCATGGATCACTGTGACATCTTACATTAAGATCATGGCACTCGCTTTTTGCTCTCTCACATCAGCTCTCCTGCGAGCAGTTTGATCACTTCCACCGCTTTACTCTGTTGGGGTAAGTCTTCAAGGTATGCGCTCCAGGAAATGATGACAGTTCACACGCAGTTGCCTTGGCAGCATCCAGAGTCTCACGGGTCACCCTCGGAACACACTCTGGTGTTTGTAGCTCTCGAGTAGATTCTCTTCTCCCCCTCCCCCTGCACTCCTGGTTGCTGTTGATGAACGGCTGATTTCTGTCAGGACTGGTGTGTTAACAACATATCACTTATCCTCTGCTCTGAACTTTCTTTGTAACCTAACAGACTGGTATATATACAGCGTGGTCAGGTTTTAGATGATTCCAGTTTTGGAGCAACTTGTCCAAAGTACGACAGAACTACCAGGGCAAAGAGTCAGGCATGAGTTAGATGGTGGTCTCCTGGCCCTTTGCTGTGGGCTTCACATATGACTTTTGGACAGTGGCTTCCTTTACAAATCCAGGAGGTACTGGATCAGAAAGGGAGAAGCTCATCAGGCCATTATGCACTTTTGCAGGGTCCTGGAGATCTTTCTGCCTCCAGGTGAGGTGGATTCCTGTTTTCCCAGGCCCCTTTCTTCATGCTTACTTAAGAGAAAAAAAAGGCCCTGAGACTTTTTCAAGTCCCAACCTAAATGAAACTCTGAAGCAGGAACATTATTGGGAATTTTTGCTCGGGTAGCTTGTTTTAGGGCTAATCTTTGGAGTGTAACCTGGGTGAAGTTATACAAAAAACCCAAAAACCAAACCCATTGCCATCGAGCCATTTCCAACTCATAGCAACCCTATAGGACAAGGTAGAACTGCCCCATTGAGTTTCCAAGGAGTGCCTGGTAGATTCGAACTACTGACCTTTTGGTTAGCAGCCATAGCACTTAACCACTACACCACCAGGGTGAAGTTATAGCCTTCCCAAAATTGAGGTGGCAGAAGGATGATGAGAGTTGTAGACTGAAGCGTAGGAAGGAGGATATCAATGGCTTTGGTTCAGGGGCCTCCTGAGCCATCTGCTGTGAGAGAGTAAGACTCTTCCCAAGCACATGCTCTGCGGCAGGTACCGAGCTTGGTGCTTCATGCATGTTGCCTCCTTGAGTCTCACATTGAGCGTCAAAGTAAATGTCATGCAGAGCTCCAAGAGGCTGAGCAGCTCACCCAACACCTGGTAGTGTGAGAGGCGAGCACAGTGGGAGAAAGGGTTGACTGTGGATGCAGGAGGGGCTGGAGCAGAGGAATACCATCCCAGTCTCTGCTCTCCATCACTTTTCATGGGTGACAAGATTCAGTGGATGGCAACTAACTCTTGAGGACGTTTTGACATCTGCTTAATGTTGGGGATGGGCAGAGACAGATTACCAAATAAGCAAGGTACACACGGGCTTACTTGTGCTTACTTACTAATCTATAAATCAGCTCTGCCAGCCCACCCAGCCCAAACCTGGGCTGTCTACCCTAGAAATGGGTGAGAGGAGAGCTGCAGCCCAGTTTCTCCCAGGGCCTGCCTCTGCTGCAGTGCGCTCACTGGTGCACTAAGTCGCAAGGCTGGCTCGCTCTCCCACAGCCCTGACGTGCCGGGATGTAAATGGAGACACAACCACATTTCTTGTCACCGTGGTCTGTCTTTTCTCCCCCTAACCTGGTGAGACTCTTCCTTGAGAAAAGGGATCTTAACTTCAGAATGTCTTCTGTTTGGGGAGATTATCTGCCAGCCCAAGGCCCTCAACCCTTTAATCATCACAGCTTTCTTGAGCCTTGCTTACATGTAGGAAAAAGAGATTGTGTGGACTGACCACCCACTCTGAGCTCTGGACAATTTATAATATAGTATCTCATTTGATTTTCAGAAAAATAGTAAGAACTGTATTTTTTTAGTGCTTACTGTATGCAAGCACTGTAGTAAATACCTTTTAATTAATCCTTCAAACCATCTTGAGGGAAGAGAGTTTCTTTTCCTTGTTTCACAGATGAGGAAACGGGTGCTTAGGGAGGTTAAGTCGCTTCCCAAGACCTCACAGCCAGGAGCTAGGAGTTGAACCAAGGATTTGGGAGAGGAGCTGTGCCTTAACCACAAGGCTGCACTGCTTCTAACAAGGGGATAATAACCGTCCTGCAGCACCTGTCTCCGTCCTGTTGTGTACACGTGCGTACACATGCACGCAAACGTGCACATGCTATCACTTCTCAGGCTAACAAGTAGAGGATAAAGCCCAGAACGCATAGAATTGCCCATAAACATCAGGGGCAGATGGAAAGCTTTGTGTTCTGTTATAAGCAGGGCTACAAAAGACATCTAAAAAAATACTTCCACATTGTTTAGAGATCTGGACTTCTTCAAAACTTCCCAGGGGTGTGTGATTATGGAACTTGAAGATCCTGTGTTAGGGTGAAGGGTAAAGGCTTTGGCTTTGTGTGAAGATTTGCCAAAGTAATTCTGCTTCATCCTTGAATGTGTTGTCTGGATGTTTCTGCCTCTGCCAGAAGTATTATATGGAATATGAGATGTTGGATGCAAGCCTCTGATCCTAGATCTTTTAGCTAAACAGATGGTCTTGTATGTAAGAACTTTTACTGTCTGCAGGTCCATAAAGCTAAACTGCCAGGAAACGCATATTATTTTCCAAAACTTGCAGAGAGCAGAACTTTAGCATATTCTCTTCTCAGCTGTTCTGTTTCCCAGAGCTTGGTAGTCAATGAGAATGTTGAGTTGAGCGTGTTCTAACCAGGCATGCAGGGCAGGGCTGCGTGTCCCTCCCAGTCTTAGGTTGGGAGGGCAGGGGGTGGTGGAGCACTGCGTGTTAAGTTCTCCAGGGATTGCTCTGTGAAGCTCATAAATGAATTTGAACTACACAGGGCTCAACTTTGACTAGATATGGAGGCATTTGCTCCAAATGGCTTCTGAACTTGAAGCAGACAATTCAGTGGTTCTCTGGGAGACACTCTCAGAATGTCCCCTGCACAGAATTCCTGTTTATTCTCACCTGATTTGCCCTCAGCCACCTGTATCCTCATGACACTGTAGCTGAGGCACGTTTATGCTGACTCCTGATGGAGTTACTTGTTCTCCCTACCCAGGGCTGCCTTCTGAGTTCCAGAGACAGATGTGAGCCCAGATGTCTGGTGAGGTGGGGGTTCCAGGAGGGAGTGAAGAGTAGACTGGGGGTTTAAAAGGTCTCGAGGCATGGAGCCCACGCTTAGACTGCAGGTAGCTGTGCTGAGCAGGGATGTGTTTTCTAAAACAAGCCTTGTGTAGCCTTGGCACTTGGCAGCACCCTTGTGGAATGTGTTTCTGTGTGTTCTCTGGTCTTGCATTCTTCTTAAGCAAAAGAGTATTGCGGTGCTAGTAAGGGGGATCCCATGAACGTTCTTCAGCAGTGAAGGCTTTATGGGTGTGACCAGAGAGTATCCCATCCATGGTTCGCTCCTCCACATCCCAAAACCTGAGGCGGCCATGGTATATGCTTAGTAAGCATTGGTTTTCTTTTCTTC